TTTTTTTTTTTTTTTTTTTTTTTTTTGTTTTTATTTTTCTAGCTTGATCTCTCGATTAAACTCTCGTATTTGTACATGTATATACAGTGTAATTATAAACCTTTTGGTTTATACCTCATCCTTCAGGTTTTTCTCATTAACTTCGATTGTGTAATTGTAATCGATTAAAAAAAAAAATTATTAAAATGAAAAAAAAATTATTGTTAGCATGTTATACTTATAATTGTAGATTTAAGGTTAGCTCATCAGGATTATGTAAAAATCTTTTTGCAAAATTCGTCTAAAATTGACAATTAATCTTTGGTGTATTAACAATATTTAGAAGCATTAATCAGTTTTAGAGATGATTGACAAAAGTTTTTTATTTGTCAATAAAAAAAACTTTATTTATATTATTGTATATTTATTTGCATTTCTAGAAACATTTCGGAGCTTTTATTCCGTTCAAATCAAAATTTAATCAATTAACTTCTTCCATCTAAGTAACTTTTCTTCCTATTGCACTGCTTCTATAAATTGAAAGAGAATATGTATATTTGAAATTTGCTTTAAATAGAATATTTATAATTCAATTTATAATTTGAAACGATTTTATTTTTATATCATAATTAATTTTACAATTATTTTTGTAAGAAAAATAATAAATAAATAATTGATAAATTGATGAATTATTTATTAGAAATTTAATTGTAATAAATTATTCCTTAGAAAATTAATTATTCAATAATCGATTGATCATTTTCTAGGGAATTAATTCACTAAAGAATCAATGTAAATCAAAATATGGAACTAAATTATATAAGAATTATACATTCGAAAATATTTAAATAAAAATAATAAAGAAAGAAAAAAACAATGGAAATAAATGCAATAAATTGAAGAAAAGTGTATCATAAAATTCATCTTAGTATTTTAATTATTGATTAATTATCAAGCGTCATTTCTTAATATATCTCTATGAAAAAAAAAAAAAAATTATGTAAATCATTCTACACGATTACATACATGATAAAATATTTGATAGGGAAATAATAATTAAAATTGAATAAAAATAAAAAAAAAAAAAAAGAAAAATGAAATAATGTGTTAGAAAAAAGGAACGTATTGAACAAGAATTTTATTTAAATTTTGTAACATCCAAAGAAGAACTGATAAAAAAAACATAGAAGGTTAATATGTATAACAAAAAATAGTCAAATGATTTAAAAAAAGACATATATGTAATTAGAAGAATATTGATGTTTTATTCTTAACAACGAATTAAATATATAATTTAAAAAAAGTAAGAAAAAATTATAAAATAGGTTATGTTTTTAGTGTTGATGGGAAGATTTGCAAGATGGTAGAAGCAGTTAGAAAATGATCGATATATGAATAGTTTGGAGAAAATCGATGAACCAGATTTTTTTGTTCATCCAAAATAATTCATGTATTTTTTTAAATTTAACACAACTACAATATTAGTACACGTAGATGATGCAAATTGCATTTTCTTCTTTTCTACAATTTGAGCTATGATAATGATTTTGCATAATACCCTGA